GTTTTGTGAGTGTCTTTCTTCTAATCACCTCATTTCCACATATATATATCCAGTCTGCCCAAGACAAAACACACAACACACTGAAAATGTTTATAAAGTGGCCTGTACCAAACCTTAAGGGGTCTGTGTATATGTTTGTGTGTGTGTGTGTGTGTGTGTGTAAAATGTATTTCCCCCTGTAGCTTAAAAACCATAACAAAAAAGCATCTTTCTTTCAATACCACCCCATCCCTTTGTGGTTCCCCCCGCCCAACATTACGAAAATCTACCAGAACAGAAATTAGCTATGAACAATTGAGTTAATGGGGTATTTACTGGGACTTACTGCCAGCATAAACCAGGACAAACTCTCTTCAATCATCAAGTCTGTTTAACTATGATTAAGCCCTGCTGGGGTTTGCAGTCCTTATCTCTCTGCAACTACCGAATCCGCTGAGAAAATAGCAGGGCTGAGACTAAAATTTGAAGTCTTTAAGCCTTGAGAACTACAATTTATTTTTCTTTTGTTGGGCAAGTCGGCAAAATATAGAAACACTGCACAAGAAAGATAGCTGTCACAAAGAGCCATATATATATGAGAGAGATGTGGCTTTGAAAAATAAAACAGAGTTTGCTAAAATGGAACTGCTATCCAGTCCCCAACCCAAGGAACAAATTGTTTGAACTGTAGCTAATTGGCAAACTACACATTTGATGAACCTTGTTTACATATATTTCATATGCAGGTGGCATAAACACTGGAAATGCTTTTAATGTTCCAAAAGGAGATGGTTTACAAGTTCACTTTGCATACTTTATTAAGGACTCTTGTTGCTAAAACACTGAGAATGAATTTTAAAAAATAACAAAGTTCATTTGCAAAATGAAAATGTTTGGATGATTAGTTTGTGGTAAACATGATGAATCATATTGGTTTCCATAAGTAAGGAAAGTTTCCATTTTCCACGTATAATAATAAGAATAAGAATAAAGCCAGAGAAACTTATATTAATGGGAGGGGATTATTATTATTATTAAAAATCAAGTAATAGATCCTGCCATAAAAATGAAGTGGGCTATTACTACCCAGGTAAAACAAACTTTTGTAAATTGGTATGAACGGATTAATTCTTAAATTGGGAATCTATCTTTAAGAAAATTGGTGGTCTAAAAACCATTGCAGGATGGTTTCCAGAGACTTGGAAACAAAAGGACACAGGAGTCCAATTGGGAACAGAAATGAGAAGGCATCCAAAGGGGCCTCATGGATTTACATAAAAGTTTGGGTTAATCTCTCCCAACAGATTGCTCAAGATTAGCCAGTGAGCTCTGCAGAGGATTCTGCAGAGCTCTGCAGAATTTAGTGGTCTGAATTCTGGATATTTTAGTTGAATTCAGGGCCAACTGCTGCTTTTCTAGCCTTGATGCAAACAACTATATATGGTACATTCCCATATGGATATATGGATAGCCAAGTACAGCTTGTAATTTCCTGCAGGTGTTCATCGAGAAAGATGATTTCCTCTAAAAATAATTAGACTGCAGCTTCAGTAAATTGCTCTAAGAAGAAATCCATTCAGCAATGCTTAAGATTTGGGGGCGGATGTGGGTGGATAGGTGGGGAAATAGATAGTCTATTGAAAACTGCTGGGCAATACATTATTTTCAATATATTTTCTCTATAAAGGAAAAGAAAACACCATCAACTCAGTATCCATCTTAGTTTTTTAATTATAATAGTTTATTTATGCATTCTTATTGGTTAGGAAAAGTTTTTTTAAAAAAAATTAAAGGATTTGACTATGTTGCAAAGCTCTATACTTTAAAAATTGTGGAGACCATGTCTCTCCTTGGAAGTTTAGGTGGAGGGATTTTAGGTAAGAGCTCTTGAGCATAAGCTGTGCTATGAAGTCCAGCTTCTCGGAGAGCCAACTCAATACGAACCCGGGTATCAGAAATTATCTGAATAAAAAAGATAATACAATATGTTAATACAAGCCTCATATAATAAATTGCCACAGTTAGAATCAACTACAACTATCATGGATCACATGTCCGCCCTTCTGGTATTAGGTAGACAATTTGATGTCATTGAAACCAGCTATTCTAATCTACCCAATTTTTAAACTCTAATTCTTAACTTTTTAATGTTAATTCTTATTTCAAATTAGTTACTGTAATTCTTAGTGTTTATTAGACACCCCTTTCCCTAGATTTCAGCTATCTCATGCCTTAGGATTTAGCTTCTTTTTAGTTTTTTTTGCACTTATCCTGTTTTGTACATTTTTATTCAATGTTCACCTTTAATCCTTATGCTTCTAGAATACGTTTACTGATGTTGCTCTATCAAAGTAAGTGTAGTCTTATTTGTGCATGTACAATATACTGATCTTAGGTGGCAACAATCACAATCTGATTTGAATGAGTAGAAATGCTATTTTTGAATACGATCTGAATGACTGTTTTAAATGAACTGGTGATTTTAAATGTCAACCTGGGCCCTACCACTCCAGAAGCACATAACATGGGCTTTCTTGGTGCCTACTCCCAAGTTCTGGAACTCTACCAAGGTGGCCAGAGTAGTCACACTTTTCTTGTTCTTTTGCTGTAAACATTTCATGTAAACAATGTTTGGGTTCATAGATAGCCCTAAACTGTGATAAAGTATGCTTGGTTTAAGCTTAGTGCACAGCTATTTATATAAGAATGACAATCTGCTGTACAAGCTACACACCTGCTCATCACTGAAGGTATGCAACACAAACAGAGGTTTCTGTGGAATAAATTCTTCTTCAATTCCAATACCCATCCGTGCTTTAGAGGCTACTGTATCGGCCACCATCCGAGCAGGATCAATTTCTGCCACGATAGCAACCTGAAGAAGAAAGGAAGTACGAACAATTCAGTAATACTCCTGCTTTTCCCACTTCCTTAAATAAGGGATACAAAAGCCCTAAACTTATCAGAAAATTACAGTCTAAAAATAAGTGAAGAGGCAATTCAAATCTGAGAACTTTGCCTGTGTACAGGACACCCCTATCCCAACCTATCCAGGTGGTCCAGGAAGATAATGATATTGCCAAGATGCCGGGCAGAATCACCAAGAATAAGATCTCCAGTTTGGCTTTTGATGTAAATCATGCATCAAGGGTGATTAAGTACTATAATCTAGAAATTCAATTTTCCAAATCTGGAAATCAGATTGAAATCAATAAAGGCAAGGCTTTAAAAATAAGAAACAGCATTTTCAACTAACTTCAGAATATAGAGACAGCCAATATCTTGAGGATCTAGGAGAGAATTATCTACCACATCAACATTTGAGTAATCATAGTTTGCAACAGTTGAATTTAATCAATTATCTTCAAAGGCACCACTATATATTTGTCTAAACTAATCCTCAAATATATAAAAAAAACTAAGCCAGGGTCTGTCTCTTCACATAGTTTGACACAAGAGCAGTACAGGGGATCTCTGACTTATCACCACAATTGAGCCCAAAATTTATGTTGCTAAGTGAGATAATTGTTACGTGAGTTTTACACCATTTTGAGAGCTTTTTGCCACAGTTGTTAAATGAATCACTGTGGTTGTTAAGCTAATAACACGGTTCTTAAATGAATTCCCCATTGATGTTGCCTATNACAGTCATCCCCTTATACACTCTGCATTCGTTACAAGGCCACCAAGTTGGAAGCAGATTGGGGATATTCAAGGAGGAAAGCTCCATTCATGGCTGTAGGTCTTGAAGACAGTATCTTGCCTCAAATAGCCAGTTGCAGGGAACAAAATAAGAAAAGATGATTTCTCCATCTCCTGCTTCCAAATAACCCAGAAGTATTTTGTTGGACATATAAGAAGCAAAATACTGGAGTCAGTATTGATCTTGGCCTGATGCAATAGGGCTGTTCTTGGATTCAAACGGTCTTGTCAATATCAATAAATACTAGATTAGAGATGAGTTTGCATGACACACTGAACCATAAGCTGGCTAAACACATAGTAGCCTAATGAAGTGTGGAAATTCTGATTGCATGGTTTGTATATACTTCAATGTATTGTGCAAACCCAAGCCAGTTAGTTAACTCGTGGTTAAGTAATCTATGATTATGTAAATCACTATTCAATTAAATACAAAGATCCTTCTTGCCCAAACATGCTCAAAATGTAAAGAAGGCAATATCTGTAGAAAATAAACATTGGGGGAGTTTAGTGTTTTAAAAACTGTCCTAAACCCCACAGCCCTGTTTGACATCAACATGTGTATCCATGGATGTTTTGGGCAACCAGCAATAATTGAAACAGCATTCAGGATATCTCAGCCAGAAAACGAGACATATCAGAATTGAATAGGCAGCATCACTCTTGTTGCATCTTATCCCAGAAGTTCTAGTGCCATGCTGTTTACATAAAATCTATGGTTCACTGAGCCACAGTTTAATCTGTTCACTTTATTGCTTGGGTTCATACATTATCTAGGATATTGTAATCTAAGTACATTGGCTGAGCTTAAATAACACAAATCAACCAGCATCATTTTAACCTGGGCACAAATCAGCCAGTTCTTCAACTCCTTCTTGGACTTCGTGTTCATTTAACCTCCTTCTCTCATTCTTTCCATTAAGCTGTTTCTCTCTTGCCTTGTGCTTCTGTTGTATCCCAGCTGGCCATCTGGCCTCTTGCCATCTGTTTCCTAGATGGCTGCACTTCAACTCTGCAGCTTCTCACTTTTAAGACAGTCATCTCAAAGGAACATATTTTGTTAAAGATTAAGAAGTTACAGCTTACAACAGCTATGGTATGTGAAATATTGAATGATTTTACAGTTAATAAGTTATATTACCCCACCAATTCTTTCCTGGAAAAATGCGTAGGTGCCCCTCAGATATGAGCTAGTATTTTTGGTGAAACTAATTGCAATTTTTAATCTATAAAAATGTAACTGAATGGATGCAAATATGATTTCACTGTTTGTGTACCAAACACTCCAATTCCTCTGCTATCATCTAGATCAGGGGTCCCCAACCTTTTGGGCACCAGGGACCAGTTTCATGAAGGGCTTTTTTTCCTGCAGATATGGGACAGATGTGGTTCGTGCCTTGCCTGGACCTTCTGCATGTACAAATGGGGCTTCACTCATTTGCATGGCCTGGTTCCTGGCAGACCGTGGACTGGGGCGAGTCCGCAGCCCAGCGGTTGGGGACTCCTGACCTAGATGGTTAGTGACCCAAATCCTCCTTATATAGAAGACTGCAAACATCATGAAAAGAAGATAGAACTTGCATAGTTGTTGGATACACCTGTACAAAGCCAGAGAGATGATTAACAAAGTAAGATAAAAACAGAATTATAAAGGAATAAAGGAAGGAATCAAAGAATAGCTTCACAAGGACTCATTGTTTCAGTTAACAATGATACATTATGCTGCAACTTTCCCAATGCACAGTACTTATGTTCAACCTTGATGTACAGATATGAAATTTTGCAATACAGGCATCTTCCATAGCTGAATGAAATTTACCAAATAAATACGTTGATGGACATATCCGATGGATATGTTGAGCAGCTTATCCACAGTCATCAAATAATTACCTACCACCACCATTTATTAATTTCAGAAAATCACTAAATAATTGAAAATAAAATACTATAAAGTGGCCAGGCAAAGTCATGTTTCAAAAGAGAAGAGTGCCTTCCTATGAAAAGAATTTCAAAACATTTCCAAAGTCCAAAGATGGTTGTGGTAGGAAGCTTTCACCTGTAGGAATCTCAGCAGGTTTAATATTAACAATGCAATTCTTAAAAGGTAAAGGTTCCCCTCACACATATGTGCTAGTCGTTCCTGACTCTAGGGGGCAATGCTCATCTCCGTTTCTAAGCCGAAGAGCCAGCACTGTCTGAAGATGTCTCCATGGTCATGTGGCTGGTATGACTAAACGCCAAAGGTGCACGAAATGCTGTTACCTTCCCACCAAAGATGGTTCCTATTTTTCTACTTGTATTTTTACATGCTTTCGAACTGCTAGGTTGGCAGAAGCTGGGACAAGTAACGGGAGCTCATTCCGTTATGCAGCATTAGGGATTCGAACCGCTGAACTGCTGACCTTTCTGATTGACAAGCTCAGCGTCTAAGCCACTGAGCCACTGCATCCCATGTAATTCTTACATCCATTATAATAGCAATAGCACTTAGACTTATATACCACTTCATAGTGCTTTTACAGCCCTCTCTAAGCAGTTTATAGAGTCAGCCAATTGCCCCCAACAATATGGATCTTCATTTTACCCACCTCGGAAGGATGGAAGGCTGAGTCAACATTGAGCTTGGTGAGATTCAAACTGCCAAATTGCAAGCAGGCAGCAGTTTCATTCATTCATTTTCATGCATGCATACATACATTCATTTATTCATTCACTCATTCTTTTCCCTGACTGCCCAGGGTGGCTCTCCTTATTTGATCAGTACAAGAACTGTGTAAAGCTAGGCTGAGAAAGTACAACTGGCACAGAGACACTCCTGGCACACTGCCATTCCATAGCAAAATAATTTGCAAAGATTTTAGCGCAGAAAGTAGCCCTTAACATATTGAAAAGATGACTGAAGATGCCAATCAACCTGTTGCAAAAGATCTACCATCAGCAGACTGGTCATTATTTTTGTTCATGGAAACAGGATGCTAAATTATGCCACTTGCAAATATCTCAGCCATTCAATTAGTTCAATTAGCTTCGGTCTTTTGACTTATGGCACATCCAGTGTGGCTGTCCAGTGTCCTAGAGCATTTCTGGCAAGCGGCAGAATGCCTACTTAGTCTATTAACTCACTAGCTCATTTGTGTAAAACAAAAACAAAAAAAGTGATGCACTAAAGAGAGATGCTACTTTAACTGGAGCCAGCAAGTCACTTCTCCAAATTCACTTTCCCTTCCTGAGCTCCAGACATTTTGTTCTGATTTTTGCTGAATTAGAGCAATAGAAATCTGAATAATGTTGGCTGGCTGAGAACATGTCAGTGTTTATTCACTGCTTCTGGGCATTAGCATTGCTAGGAATCCCTAGTAAGCCCAAGCCTTTTGATTTAAAATCCACATTCTATTTCAGGCACAATTAAATAGAACAACAGTGATTAGATCATATATTTGGAGCTGTTCAGGAAAGTCCACTTTGTTTCTGCTTTCATCAGAATATCTTTGTCTACATATGCAGTCATTCTGATACTAATATGCTGAATCAAGGCTGGCAGTTTTCCTGGTTTTGTGAGTGTCTTTCTTCTAATCACCTCATTTCCACATATATATATCCAGTCTGCCCAAGACAAAACACACAACACACTGAAAATGTTTATAAAGTGGCCTGTACCAAACCTTAAGGGGTCTGTGTATATGTTTGTGTGTGTGTGTGTGTGTGTGTGTAAAATGTATTTCCCCCTGTAGCTTAAAAACCATAACAAAAAAGCATCTTTCTTTCAATACCACCCCATCCCTTTGTGGTTCCCCCCGCCCAACATTACGAAAATCTACCAGAACAGAAATTAGCTATGAACAATTGAGTTAATGGGGTATTTACTGGGACTTACTGCCAGCATAAACCAGGACAAACTCTCTTCAATCATCAAGTCTGTTTAACTATGATTAAGCCCTGCTGGGGTTTGCAGTCCTTATCTCTCTGCAACTACCGAATCCGCTGAGAAAATAGCAGGGCTGAGACTAAAATTTGAAGTCTTTAAGCCTTGAGAACTACAATTTATTTTTCTTTTGTTGGGCAAGTCGGCAAAATATAGAAACACTGCACAAGAAAGATAGCTGTCACAAAGAGCCATATATATATGAGAGAGATGTGGCTTTGAAAAATAAAACAGAGTTTGCTAAAATGGAA